GATCCAGTGGATGACAAAATAGTGTGCTTGTTACACCTCCAGCAAATCCACCAATCAAATGTTCGTAATTTTTGCTCATCTAGAGAACCTGGTTCAATGCATAGTTGCGAAAATTTTAAACAACACATTACAATAAAAGCATCGACACCAGCGGAAGTTTTTCACGTGTTTCCAACTTGATGACTGGCCTTTGATTTGATTAAAAATCTGCTTTCACTTAGATAATCCGTTAATCATACCACAGAGTCCGATTGCCAAGAAAAATGCTCATACTTTTAGATCAACGTTACAATTACCAAAAAACTACACTTTGAGCCTACACAAGTTTATATTATTTTTCTATGCATTCTTACTGTTAATTATATTTTATATTACTTTAAAGATAAACCGAAAAATGTTAATTTGCAGTGAACATCAGTGCAGTCAATAATATTCCGATTATCCATTAGCTAGAGAAACAATAACTGTTTATGAAATAACGACTGGAATTATGTAAGAACAAAAAAGATAATTGCCAAGTACCATGAATTTGAAGACCATAGATTACACGTTCATAAAATGAAACATTAATCCCACTCACAGAAGGCATTAATATCAGAATCCTAGGAATTCGCTCAAGCATTTGCTGATTTTAAACCACCAACGCTTAAAATACTACTTTTCTCTTCAGTTTCAGACCGTGTGCAGTAGCACAAGATTATTGCCTTTGCAAATACCTCCCACTCACACTCTGCAGGCACATATTCGGTTTGCACACTTCTAGATAGTTGGAAAAGAAACAGCACCTTTCAATACTAGTTCCTTGCAAGCGGCAGAAAAAAACAGAACTTGGCAAAATTCATTGGGGGCTTTGAAAAGCCTTTGAATTCTTCAAAAAGATAGTGCTCAGGGCTTTGGGGGACTGATGTATATAATGAAGGTTCACTGTTCACGTTCATTAATACACTAAGAGTCTTCTCCAGCCCTAAAGACTTTGAAATTGGTCACTTCCAGTCTTCAATAGTAGTTTAGAGCTAGAGCCATAATAAGACATTTGCTGAATGACGTCTGTCGGTCATTAGCTTTCTCCTCAGTGCTCTCTGTCAATAACGCTGTTCTAGATCACAAATGTGATATTGCGGTATCTCCAGTTTCTACTCCAAACCGTACGCTTATCTTAGCTGACAAGTCTGATTTTTTTAATAACTTTACTAACTTGTAGGTCTCGGAATACACTATAAAATTAAAAAAGTTTACGTCAGAGAATATATTCGCGACCCCATAAGACTATCCCGAAGTGTGGGGAAGAAATTGGAGTGCCTGTTTAACACCGCTGTTTTTGAAATCTTATAACCTTTTTTGATTATAGCAAACTTTTTCTTTTGATTTTTGTTTCTCCTGACAAGATGCTTCGTATTGCTGACGGCGATGTTTGACTGTTTGCATAAAAGGAATAATTAAAGAATTAGAGCATAAGTAAAACTTTAAAGCGTTTTATTGAAAACTGTAAACATTCTAATTTTAAAAAAAATTTTGTAGAATGTGCAGTACACTTGGTGTTCAAAAGTTCTTCAGTTCCTTGCACCAAAACTGACCGATAACGCATATTTTGCTGAGAAAGGTTAGTCTATTCAAGAAGCTCATTGATATTGCTTTTCAAGTCGCAAAGATCAACATAAGTTTGGTGGATGCAGTATTCCACTCAGTTTGCAATTGGTAATACTCAAATTAAAAAAAAAAAAAAAAACAAGTATCTCACAACTGTCAAGATAGATGGAAAAAGACCATTCCTGGGGCTCTCGTTAACAACGAGGCAAGAACAAAGCTGTTAAAAGAAACAATTATCTGTGGACAAACTGAGTTTAAAACTATACAGTTTTTTTCGACAGTACTATACATAAGAGTTGCTCGTTTCTCGTGTACACTCTGTTATCTATAGAACACGAATGATATGCAAAAGAAAACAGTGCCGATAAGTCGTTAAACGTATGAGATAAAACAAAAAACTCAGTCAGCTTTACAAGTCGTTCACATTCTTCAGCATATATTTCAACACCTCTTCAACTATACCAATTTTTAGACTTTCAGTCCGGAATTTCAAAATTAAGTAGCCTACAGAAAAATTTCTTTTACTCATACACTGCGCCTTTTTTTTACAAAGCAGCGTATCCGTCGCAACTACCAAAGAGTATTTGCTTTTTCGTCTCTATAAAAAAGCTTCTGTGTTACAACAACAACGCGATTAAAACGATCCCTTGGTTCCTTTAAGCATTCTTGCAAGGATCTTGCAGATTATTTAAAGAATCAGGGAGGAAATTTATGATCCGAGAACCAGTACAGCCAGTAATTCATTAATGCATTACTTCCACAGCCGACTTTTTTTACATTTGACAGCCGTTATTAATCAGTCAACGAAAAAAATTGAGAAAAAAAATGAAATAAAACAAATTTAACCATTTTTTTGGAAATGTAAATTCTTAGAAGTTTTGCTGAGTAACAAGTGACAGAGTACGGTAGAAAAAACACAGCAGACTTCGTTAGCTTCTAAAATCCAACCATATTTCGTAAAGTCTATGTCTTCTTTTTTAAAACATCAAAGATAAGTTTCTCACTTTAAGAACATTTATAGTTCTGAAAAGGCATAAAAAGATGAAGTTAGGAACGAAAAAAATTACTCAAGGTCCTCTTCCTTCGGTAAAACAAATTTTCCCTGTAAGTCAGCTTTCTAACCCCTAAAAATTTGAAGGAGCTAAAGTCACCTGTTTCTTATATGCTATTTTACTTCTTTCATTGTGCATCCACGGCAAACATTGCAGCGTCGTCTTGTTTTCCTTATGTTTCTTTCTCCTCTTTTATTGTCTTTCAGTCCCACCAATTAATTTCAGCCACTGTTTTATCCATAGAACTGCAGTTACAGTTCCCCACCCTCAGTTGCAGTCCGTTTATAAATTCATATACTTTGGCCTCAACAAAGGAAAAAGAAAAGAGCTCCCGTTATAATGGCAAAAAACTGTCAACACACACTTTCAAACGCCGTGACACCAATAGAGTGCTTAGCAGAATTAATTTATTCAGTTTTGCAGCAGATGCAGTCTTATCTTACAAGTAAAAGCCAACGACTGTTCCTCACCCGTGGCCGATTCCACAAGCTTTAGTAGTTCTCAGAAACCAGATCATTTTCTTATCCATCTAATGCATGTGATTCCGCAGCAGTTATCACTTTAAATTACGAAAATGCTTTTTAGCGCTTGGTGGGTCTTCCAATGAAGATTCCACCAAATTCATTTCAACTGCCCAGAAACGTGATCTTTTTTAAGCAGTGTGTTAAGTGTTTTTGAAAAACTTTACAAATGAGAATGGTACATTTTACTACCAAACTTAAAAGTCAAGAAAATAAGTGTAGGTATTTCAAGAATCACAAACAGTAAACAAGTAAGGGTTAAAGGGTCTGCATTCAGAAAACGAAAGGAAAAGCAGAAATTAAACTGAAATATATTTCAGAATCAGTTTATAATGTTACCATTACTACTACATCTAAAATCTAGAAGTTTTCTCTGGGTCAGGTCAGTTTTGCACCCAGTTCAAAAGTTTGCAAAGAGTTTCATTAGCGAATATTTCCCCGGCATACGTCAGTTTTGCTTGTCGTCGTCATTGATTTTTCTCTTTCACCCTGAGAAAAGTGCTATCCCAGTTACATGATGCCGGCACAAATTATATACAACCGAATGACCCGATAAATCTGCACTGTTCTGCAGAGTCTTAATGCAGTGATAGAAACCCACAGTGCTCCAAGATTGCATCAACCAACTTCGACTACACGCGGGAACCCAACACAATGTGCCCGCCGTGTTCACTGTGGACATGCAATGTGGCAATAAGGAATTCAAGTAATTTTAGCGGCAAACGTGATAATTGCCACTTGTGGCAACCTGCCAGAAACGCTGTCTCCTCCAACTGTTCCCCATGCTACGCTAATGATCAAGATATGTGTCTTGACTCCATTCAATTTCTTAATCTTTTCCTTTGTTGATTTTTGTTGTTACATTTGCGTCGATTTTCTTCTCCGTTAGATTACGCCTTATGCTTTTTTTTTTATCATGTGGCAGAAAGTTTTTATGCAGAAAATATTTTGGAGGACCGTTATGGCTGCTAGGATGTTTTTTAGAGGGTATTAGCAAGTAGTTGTAGGCAACGGAAATTGCCGTTGGAGAATATGAAGTTTTGCAAAGCTCACTGCGAAACTTTGTTCCCCATCTTTTTTTTGTCCAACAGTATTCGAACGCCAACAGTTTCGTTGATAGATTCGCAGGAGGATGCTGCATTGAACCATGCATTTATTGTTTTGAATAACTGCTTAAGAAACATTCGAATCAATATGATTTGGAAATCTCACTGAAAAGAACAGGTACCAGTGGCGAAGCGTTTGCCAGGGAGTTCAACGGGGCATAGTTGGCGACAGCCGGATTCAGAGAAAGTTCGCGATTTTCCAGTACCTGTTAGAGGAGTTCCTTTCTCGGACTTCTTCAGCGTGACATTTAACAGTATTGAAGCATCATTCTACAAGTGTTCATTTCCCTTTGAACAATTCTGGGTGATGTTTTCCTTAAAGTTGTACTTTATATGACGACTGTCAAGTGGGTGATTCTGAATTGCGAACACAAACCTTTGGTAAACTTGCCAGTGTTATACTGGTTCGGTGTAGGTTATGCAAGATTTGTGTATTTTAAGTTTACTTTTAGTTGAATTCCTCAGCGAAAAAATAAATCGTTTTGAAATTTGGATGCAAGATTACATTTTCGGAAGAACTCCCAATGTTTGTGGTCGCATCACATATTGATAAGACAGAAAATGTATATATGCACAAATAGGAAGCTTTGATCGCCTGGACATTTCTGGGCTGATCAAGAAAAGGTCAGGGAATGACAGGAATCCTGAGGGAGGAACATGTTTGCAGTTAGATATTGCTCAACTGTCTTCTTGAGCTCCATTTAGGGAAAACAAATACCTTCCCTTACAAAATCAAAGTTGAAGTGCGATGTAACAATATTTTTTAAGTGAAAGAACCTAATTTGTTTAAAAACACCCACGTAAGGCATTGTTGCTCAGTAAAGCAGTGGGAGGCGCTCAGAAGAAGCTGTAGATTCGTAGGCTTAGCGAGTGCGACGGGGTATTTCGGGCTTAGGTTACGGAGTAAATGCTTTTAACTTCTTAGCTGGGCATTTGAGAATGCAGCAATCTCAATACAGAAAAGTTAAGACAAGGTTTTGTTTTGTGGAATGGGGGTAGGGGTACAGCGAACATCATTACAGAAGTTCACACCACGCCTTAAGGATCTTCGTTTGCAGTCGTGGTCGCAGGTGCGCTGAGGAAAATTGAAAAAGGTAGTCACTGCCATTAACAGTGTTCGTGTAAGGAAATAAGCGGCAAATCAAAAAAAGGAATAGTACAGGGGTTTTGAAATTCAGGAAATTGAGTTTTTCAAGCTTGATAGTCTTGTACAAGAAGATTTCAAGAAAAGTAATTGTGCAGAAAAGTTTATCTTTTGGTGAATACATTAGAGGAAACTCGTTCAGAAATCTTAATTATAAGGGTTGTAGACTTCTGCTGTCTTGGAATCGAGAGTGAAGAAGGAGACTGTGAAGTTTGTGTCTGCATCTCAGCTTTCTGCCAAAAGCTTTTTGAGAGTGACATGGATTAGTACTTGAAATAAAGTAAAACAAAGCATAGCCATTTTTTACGAAAGAATTTCTAGAAACAGCTTGTTAGAATTCTGAAAGCGTGTCCAGTTTATTTTTTCAGATCACAACATTCAATCTTTAATGTCTGATTCTTTTTGATGGCTGTAGAAAAAAGCGCGCCAGAGGCCCCATGCAGCACTGACGATGGTTGGTTTATTCGTTAAAAAGTAATATTTAAAAGTTTTTGAGCGGTTCAATACACCTCTTCATGGTCCTTTTGCTTTCTGCAAGTAATTTTTTTTTGTTTTACGTATTGAAAGAGGGAATTCTTGTAAGTTTTTTGTGAACGTAGCTGCCCATAATTTAATGTTTAGATCAAGCCGATGCAACGAGGATAGAATGCCTTCGGTTAATTAGGGATTGTCTACAGTCGCCGGGTATTATTCAAGGGGAGGTGGTTGATAAAGTTGTCGTTCTTTTCAATCATATTAACAACACGAATGAGAATGAAAGAGATGAATCGGACCGGTCTTTTTATGAAACATTGAAAGATGAATTTTTAGTAAGTTTTTTAATTGCAAATAATTTGATCTTTTTTGATAGTTACAGTAACTTCATTAAAAAGTAACTTCCTCGCGATAATCAGACTACAGAAACCTCTTATTGACGAGAAAATCTAGTCCACTGTTCGTGTAAGAAGTTTTTTTTAGAAGGAAAGCTTAGTATAAAAAGTGTTTCCGATGTGCAACTGTGCTGATAGTATTATGAGTTAGTTTTTATTTCAGCTTCGTTAGAAATTGACTTCTCGTGGGTAAGATAAACTTTTGTCTTATCCAGCCTACTTTCTAACTGATTACTATTGTTCCAAATTCTGGATCTCAGTTGATTCAGAAAACATTTGTTAATGAGGATGCAGTGAAAATTAGCTGGATTACTGAAGTTGCTCTTGTTTCCTCAAGGCTCTAGGTTCTAATTTTTACTGTTTGGGCTAAATTGGCAAGCACGAGCAGTAATGAGGTGCTCCAAACGTTAGGACGAAGTTGTGCCTTTCTTTTGATGCACAGATGTTTGTTATTTATGTTTTTTTAGAATATATGCCGAAACCGATCTTTGTCTTTGTCTGCATCTCAGAAGCTGGCTGACGACAGTTTTTTAAGGTCTAATCATGATCACCCAGGCATCCCAGGTCGCCTCGATTTCAGTGATGAGGAGAGCCCTATATCCAGTGATAATTTAACTAGTAAAGTTAATTGTCATTTAAAAGAGATCTCTCCTGTTGCTTATGGAGGTGATGAGGTGCCGAAACTGCATGGACTCTCTTCAGTGTTGCCAGAAACGTTGTTTTTTTTATACTCAGTTTTTCAGAAAGTTCTTGCTATTGTTCCTTTGATGATTGGTATAGTCGCTAAAGTTTTTTTGTTTTTTAAAGGTGTCTTTGATTATGTACATATCTCTTATATAATTATGAGTTTTTTGTTTTGCGCAATTGTGTTTAGCGGGTTGGATTTATCATTTGGTCGGTTCTCATTAACCGTCTTTTTCAGAGATGTTCCACCGTCTTAATTTTTTTCCCATCTGGACTTCTCATTCCATGACATTAAGATTGTCGTAAATCGATTTTACAATAGTATAAATGTGGTTCTCTTAAGTTTTTTCATATTTAGTAATGAGTCATTTGTTTGAATCTTGAGTTTTTTCATTAAGAGTGTCGTAAATCGATTTTACAATAGTATAAATGTGGTTCTCTTAAGTTTTTTCATATTTAGTAATGGGTCATTTGTTTGAATCTTGAGTTTTTTTTTTCCTTCAATTTCCGCGATTTTTCTAGGAAGTCACCTTACGTGTTTCCTATTTTTTTCAAGAGGATTGCTTCGTTTTTTGTCCCTGCTACCTCAGCTTTGTACTACTTAGCAGTTCTGCAATCTAAGCAGAGATTGGGGGCCAGGTTCTTTGGCTCTTGAGCTGTTTTCAGTCCAAAATTGATGTTTCTGCTGATCTTGCTTTTTTGTGAAGAAAAAAGATGTTTTTTTTTCGTGATGTCTCCCTATTACTGGTGTGTATTAAATGTATAATAAAACCATTTTAAAGCTTCGCAAATAACTTTGGTTTTCCCTTAACGGATGCTTTTGGTGTCCGATAGCAGGGTATCTAGAATTTGGGTAACTGATTGGACGTGCTTATATGTATGCAAACAATTCGACTTATTTGGCGTGTTATTTAGCTCTATCCATGCAAATCGCTCCCAATGTATCAAATTTATTTGAAAAAGACTATCAAAAACGAGACAACAGCCAGAACAATTCGACACATGCATTTTACAAAGACGTATTAC